GAATAATATCTTCTAATTCTAACTTCTCCGACTACTGCTAATACTTTTACTACCTCTACTACTATTGGATTTGAATTGACAATTACATTTCTGTGCTAATGTGGTATGGCAACATGAACTGATGTACGTACGTACGAAGTTCTACGTTGTAGCTGAGTGAAAAATCAATTAACCCTAACTCAGAATTTCCAATCTTAACAGCAATTTCTTAACCCGAAACAATCTGAGGACTCTTAAAAATATATATGTTTTTTTCTCTAATAAATGTTAAAGAAAAGGCAGCGAAACTCCATCTTAAGCAAATTAAGTTTCATTCACTACGTAATCAATGAGAGAAAATTGATTTCACATTTTATGTGAATATTTATTATACGACAACAGTTGAATAGATGTGACTTCTTCAGTTACTACTATTTTATACTACACGATGATGGAATCTTCTGAAAGGATAATTTTTTTAGCATAGTAAAACTTAAATGTAAAGACATAAATTTTGAAAACCGATCAAAATGTTACTACTCGAAGTGTTGAATACGTTTATTTTTGACACACCACAAATAGAACAGCAGACTACAAGCGCTATAAGATAAAATCGTCATGCGAGCGCCGGAAAGCAGGCAAGCGAGTGAATAGGCGAATGAACGGATGAAGTGATGTGGAGAAGGCTAGTGAGCCAACTCTAAGAGATAAAGCATGACTAGGAATTTATAGTCAGACAGACATGTGACCAACGAGATAGGCATGCACACACATGAATAAAAGCGACGAATGATTGACAAGGTCAAAAGACAAGTCGAACAAGTCACGTGAGCTCATACAAACCAGACAATATTAAGAACGAATGGTACATATAATTTGTTGCTTTACAAATGGCTTGTTTAAATAAATTAATCAAAAGGGCTTGACCAAATTAAATATAAGCGAACCCGAATATATGTGGAGGCACTACGTACTAATCAACTATTACGAACTTCTCATTAAAGAGCGTCAGGAATTCAGACCACTGGTGGAAATATCACTTGATTTCTCACCATTTACTGATAGTCGAAATAAACTGTTATTTAAAGGCGTGACCAGTGGAGTTCAGCCCTGTCGGATGTAGGCAGTAACTACCAAAGACTAATGGGTGAGGTGGCTCAAAATCTCTAGATCAATCAGAGTTAGACATTAACACCTTTGGATGCCAACCCAGTGGTCCAGAGGTTAGGGTTTCGCGCACAATACCGAGGGTCCCGGGTTCGAATCCTGCGAGGTGTAGTGCTGATGAGTCCAGTACCACGACGAAACAGCCATCCAGTGCTTGCAGGTTTCTAATGGTGATCTAACAATGATTGGTTGATGATTTCAAATGTGTGAAAACACTAAGCTCCATAACTCTAATTAAAATAATGAAAACTAAAAAACATTGTAAACGTCAAAATCAATTTTTTTTAAATAACTGTAAAATGTTACCGTATGGCTGCTCTCATATTAATGCATGTGGGCAATTTTGAACATGAATTCAATCTGGAAAATATAGAAATATTTCCAAACAGAGTAGACTGATAGAAAATAAGAGAAGTTTTTGAAAACCGGGTTCTCTAATCAAGCATCGATCAATAAACAGTGAGCCAGTTAGTTACAACGTAGAATTTCGTACGTGCGTACATAAGTTCAGGTTGCCATAACCACATTAGCCCAGAGACGCCATCGTCAGTTAAAATCCCATAACGGTAGAGATAGTAGAAATATTAATGGTAATGGAGAAAATTAGGATTCAAACAAATTATTCAAGAAGTTTACTTCAGTGAAATAAATTTAGAAAGAGAGAAATAGGTGTGATAAGGAGTTCAGAATATTAGAATTTGAGAGAACACAAAGAGTGGAAGCACCTGCGCCATCTAAAAACGATTTCGAGCCATGCCATTTAAGGTCTCTAACCGTCGGTTACTATCAATCAATAAACACATTGAAATCGTTCAAATCTACCAATTAATAGGATAAAAGATTACAAATGACAAGGTTGGAATTCAGATCAGAACGATAAGCAACGAATAAAAACATATGAACAACGACCACACAATTATGAATAACAGCCAGTCAAATTCTAGGTGAACGAAATAAGCCTTTCATTAATCGTAAGAAGTTCTGATAGCTCACTTCTCTCTACAAGCTGATTGTTTTGTTCAGAAGAACGACGAAAGTCCCACAAAGAAACTAACCATCCCAGAGACCGCAAGAAAACCTTAATTCATTACTTTTAGCTTCAAACTTAGTAGCGCATCAGATAACGCGTTTTTTATTTCAAGCGAAAAGTATTTGGTTTGAGCCTCGATGTGAACATTAGTGCTGAGATGTAGTACATCCAGCTGACGAGTCACCAGCATATAACTTGGAATTCTGCTGCTCATCATAATTCATCACTTCGAAAATGATTTCCATCACATGTCTAAATCAAAGATATCAATCAGGTCAGAGTGCACATCTGTCATTAGAGACTAGTTGACTGACATCGTTCATATAAACAGTATAAAAAAAAACTCAAACTTTTAAATACACACAAAATACCTCTTAGCATAACTACTTTGACATCAGCTTTTTCATAATAAATGAAAGTTGAATTAATAATGATCGAAAGACATAAGTTAGTACTAAGTTAAATAAGCTAAATGAATAGGATTCATCACACTACATCAACTCCATTGACTACAAAGAAAGCACTTGATAGATTGGACAGAATAACACTATGGAGGTTTCTTTGACACTTCAGAGTGCCTGAAAAGATAGTCAACACAATACAGAATTCTTATAATGGATATAAATTTCGAATTGTAATTAACATAAATTTACTGAAATAATGAGTATACAGCGCAAAACTTTGAATCAAATTATCGATAAATTACAATGAAATTAATAAACAAGATAAATTTACGTAATGTTAAACAACAGAAATGTATGTTGTAACCATAATTATTAACCAAGTTAATTATATGATTGTAGATTATGTAATTCAAGTTCAATAATAAATAGTAAAGAGGAATTGAACATTGAATTAATCTATAAATAATAACAAATTAGGTAAATTTAAACTTTTTCTTGGTCGGTTGCAGGGTATATACTTCATTTTATTTCGGATTTTTTTTAGCAGGCAATCCATGTGCATTATAGTGTAAGTGTTCACATCAGGACTCAAATTTATCACTGTTTATGTCAAATGTCAAACACGATATTTAGTAAATAACTGAGAATTACTGACATCTTCAATGCATTTGATTTAACTTAGACAATAGTAAAGATTTGAATAATTTCGTTACCAACAGTCAAGACTGAATTTTTGATTAGCATTCACTTAGCATGTGTATATCATATGTCATCTATCAGAATAAAGCGCTTTTTGTTAAGTTTGAATAGTAGCCAACAATAGAATTCACAATTCATGTTTATAGACGTTATTCATGATTCACAAGGCGGATGTGTCTGAATCCCAGTTTTTATATTTGTAGAGAGCTTCAAGTGTTTGTAAATAAGTTTTTGGATCAGGTTAAAATCTGAATATTAACATTAATATTCGAGTACATCCAGCTAACGAGTTCCTAATAGAGTTCTACCGACAGCCAATCAACTTGTGCCGAAAATAATATCGAAACAGTCCTCTCAGAATGTACATGTACCAAGAGAGACGGATCTAATGTAGGTCTTCAACAACTAATCGTTTCAAATATAAGATGAATTGTTTACAAGGAAGGATAGTAACTTAAATTTTGGAACTTTATAAATTCTATAATACAAATGTCAACTAACAATTAGTATGTTAACCTAACAAGCTGGACTTGATAGTTTCAAAGAAATTGAGCATTCGATGAAAAGTAAATAATAACAATATTTTCTGGCACTCTGCCTCGCCCCCCTCTGGGGCTACTGTTGGTCCCATGCCCGGGTAAAGGAGGAGGGTTGGGCAAGGGGTTGGCAGCCCCATCCCATAAAAAAAACTAACTCGCTAAAAAAACATTTTCTGGTGATATTCCAATGAGTAGAAATTTGTAATGCAAGTCATTTTTCTTCAGAGTAAATAATAAACCGAGACAAAGTAACACAAGTTTAAATAGAAAGTACAATCAAAATCATAATAGTAGTAGGTTTGAATCTGTCGATTGGATGTTATTTTCAGTGAAAGTGATTCTGTATGAGACTACTTCACAGTGTTATTTATGTGTATGAAAGATGGTAAGAAAAATATTTCATTGTGATGTGAAGTAGTGCCGTTAAAAAAAATTATTAATTGCCTGTGTGTGTGTATACGTAGAACTGAGTTTGGACAATGAGTCGAATGTTGTTGTTAGGAGCAACAGTTCAGATTAGATGGATAGTCAGAACTTCTTACATATTTCAAGGCAGAGGGAATCAGTATTATATAAAATGCTTCAGTTGCTCATCTCTCTTTATTGTTGGAAAAACCTTTGCTAATTATTTCGATATTTTTAATATTGACTTGATGTTTAATGAAAATAGCATGTACCTGACTGCTAATGCTGATTCAATTTGTAGATTTTCCGGTTCTACCGGTTTATTAGGAGGTCGTTTAATATAGCTTAAGTGTTCTCTGAAACAAGTCGACATTTTCTCAGAGGTTTCTCCAACATACAATGCATTACCATCTACACAGCTTAGTTTGTAGACACAATTTCGCGGCAATGTAAAGGAGATCTAACAACAGCAATTCGTAGTGTTGGTCACTTCAAAAAATTTAAATTGTTACAAATAAAGCAACTTCTAAAGAAACTTAAACCTTTTTATTGACAACTTATATCCTAAATCCAACACCATATGGTGATTTTATGAGCTATCCCCTTTTAAGATTTATAGTAGACTTAACAAACACCTCTATATATGCATCATTTAAATATTTAGTAGTGTTGTTTGAACCAGTTGACCAAATGTGACATTGAATGTATTGCAACACCATTTAACACTCAAATTTCAATGAATATTTATAGAAATTAAAAATATTTCTGTAGGTATTTATTTTACTGTAATGAGCATTATTCAGTTAAGTGTTTACACAAAGTTTAAGATTATCATTACACGCATGTAAAATCAGCGAGATAGAGAGTAGGAGAAGTTAACAAGTTTAATTTCACTGTACACAGCATGGATTATTTTACATACGCACTGTAATTATCATTCTCGAGAAGAAAAACAATAATATTTTGAATACATCACTATGATGAAGGTAGACTTTGTTGATAATTACATAATCACACATTCACTCAGCGTAGATGTGTGCACTGAACTATGCTAAATCAAAATCACAGTAAATTTCTTTTTCCCTATACCCCTATGTGTATGCAAACAAAACTAAATTTAAAATTGTCTCAATAATGTTTCATTATTGTATTTAGTTCTAATTAACTGAGGATTAACTCTTCTATGATGTTCTGCATAGTTAGGTGATGTTGTTGTCATGATCATCATGGGTGTCATCATTGCTGTAGATGAGGATGATGACACTGATGTTATTGCTTGGTTAATAAAATTCTCTCTGCTTATCAATGGATTAGATATTCTATGCTTTTGATACTGAAGTGTATTATTAAAATGTTGATAATTATGAATACTACTACAATTCATATTAGTAGTAGTAGTAGTAGTGGTTGTAGTATTCTCATTTTCATTGAAATCATATGATGTCATTAAATTGGTGTAGACAGTTGGATAAAACAATTCATATGGCGCTGATATATGTTGAATCATTGGCTCAACACATGAATTATCTAATTCATTCTCATGAATATGGTCACGTGAATAACGATTGCCAATATTACCATTATTAGTATCATAATCATTATTATTCGTATTTTGAATATGAGGATATAAACTGGAAGAGATAGGTGATGTCGCATTGAAGTGATTAGTATTCAAAGCTAAATGTTGCTTTGAATCAGGCAGACAATGACGATTGATTGTGCCAGACGACACTGTAGGCTGATGAGTTAAACTCAATGGATCGTATTTATAATTTGAATGTATCGTGAAATAATCATTTTTATGAAAAATTGCATTACTACTACTATTAATAGTGTTAGTAGTATAATAATCGGAATTTAAGGCATCCTCTTTTTGTGCCATATTATCGATAATTTGATGAAGATAATTTTTACGTGATTTTCGATGTTTTTTCTTGTGAAATTTGGTTAAAATAACAAAAATCATAATAATCGATAAGAGAATAATTAAACTGAATGAAATAATTAACACAATGATAACTTTCGATTCATTAAACCAGAACCATGTTGCCTGAATGATTGGTTGTAATTGACTAGTATTCATCAATTTGCCTAAATGATCCATGTTACCGTTAGTGGTATTGAGTGAATGGATAGATAATTCCAGTTTATTAACTGTTTGTATTGGTAAACGTACAAAAAAATAACCGTCAGTATATAATTGTCTATGAATGCCTTGATCTTGAACACGTACAAATGCATAATATTCATAGATTTCTTCTAATCGATCAATATGTAGTTTTAATTCACCATTTGTTGAAAGATACAATGAATCCATTGGGAAATGTAATTTATTCGGATCAATCAAGTGTTGATATTCATGAGTCATCTGTTCAATAATAAACATTTGTAATCGACCATTATCTCCTGAGTCAAAATCATAAGCTGCCAATTGTGACCGTAGTTCTGTTGGTGAATTCTGATTAATTTCCCATATTGGTTCAAGATGATAGAGGATAATTTCTTTAGAAGCGTAAATTGGAACACGAGTAGATCCAATTGGATTACACCATTTTGGTGGATTATCATTGACATCAGTTACATAAACTGTAATGGTTTGCATAGAAGTCAATTTGATTGGATTACCGAAATCTTCAAGAATTACTTGTAAATTATAAGCAGTTACTGTTTCCCAATCAATCAGTTGATGATTATTTCTTGGCAGGCTTAATAAACCACTAGTTGAATCAATTTGAAATAAAGGTTTCACAGCGTCATCAACCCTATTATTATTATGATGATTATTCTTATTGAAACATGGTCTAGTTGCATTTCTACGACCAGTATTCTTTTCAACAGTAACATGAGCAAGTGAATATTTCACTGTACCATTCACTCCTAAATCTAAATCAATAGCATTTAAAAAACCAATCATATATGAATTCATCGGATCATTAGGATTATTCCCAACTACAGTGCTAGTGTATTCATCCCATTCATGTATACTGAAACCATATAATAAAATTTCTCTACTAAGTTTCGGTTCATTATCATTAATATCAGTAACATTGATTAGTAATTCAGCACTAGCTACACGATTTTGTCTTATTAAATCACTTTCTAATTCTTTAGCTATGATTGAACAAACAATAAATGACATTTTCTCTCGATCAATACCACTCGGTGCTGATATTTCACCAGTCAATGGATCAATTCTCAATTGATCACAACCATTGGTGTATTTGTCATTTTTATCATGTATGCTAAATTCCACTTCACTAATTGCATCAAGTAATTGTGGTCGTAATAAATTGAACATAGGTTCACTGGATTCTTCAATGATCAGCTGATAAGTGTTTTGTTCAAAGCATAAATCAATTTGTTGATAATCAGTCACTGTGATTGTCAAACTAATCGATGTAGTTAAAGCTAACGGCCTGCCATGATCTTGACAAGTGATAATCATGGTGATTGAAGTTAATGCTTGTGTTGAACTTGATGTTTGATATTGATAATCACGATGATGATTATCGAGTGGTTTAATAGTTTGTGAATTCGGTCGATCATTTTTCGCATTGTTTAAATGATGTTCTTCATCTCGTACAACTTGTAATGTGTACAAATATTGACCAGATATTTGACCATTATTAATTAAATTAATTTTTAAATCGGAATATTTACTCCAATTATTATTATTATTATTATTATTATTATTACTATGACTATAATCCTCCAGTGTTCGATCACATGTAACTTGACCATTTTCGCCAAGATCCGGGTCACTAACAACCACAAAACCTATATGACTGCCAGATTCAATATTTGGTGAAATTTTAATTTCATTCGATTCAACATTGAATTTGCCACAACCAACTTTTTTAATTTGTATTTTTGGTGCATGATCATTCAAATCAATAATTTGGAAGAGGATAGTCTTGGAAATTTTTTGCATTGGTATACCATTATCAGCGACATAAATAGTAATTTCAATTTGTTGTGTTTCATGAGCATGCACCGCTTGATTTAAACGTATTTCTCCATTAGTTGGATTAATTATAAATTGAGCTAAAGCAGTAGTGGATTGACTACGGTTATTATGATCATCAGCATTCTCATTAGTTCCAGTGGAGATTAGATTTTTTCTTAAAGAATTTTGTATTAAACTATAAGTAAGACGTGAATTCTCACCACTATCTGCATCTATTGCTTCAATTTTTAATAATAAAGTTCCAATTGGTAAATTCTCTGATACATTAACAGTATAATAATTATCAACAGGGAAAATAATTTTCGGTGGATTGTCATTTGCATCGATTATCGAGATTTTTATTGGTAATGTTGCACAATCGGTCTGCGTGAAACCAGATTCACATGCTATTAACTCAATAAAGTAATATTGTTTAAGCTCATAATCAAGTACATCTTTAATGATTAAACATGGAGAATTAGTATGACTTGTGCCTTGAATTGTCTTTTGTTCAAATTGACTATCAGTGGAACATGGGATCAAGTCGAAGTATTGATGATACTCATCAATTTGATTATTTTCATCAGGATAATAATTTAATTTATATAAAATGTTTGTATTCGATTCCATTGTATCCAAATCATATGCTTTCATTAAAGGAATACGTGTACCAATTGGAATATTCTCTTTTATTGATAAAGGATAATAACCAGACCATTTGGTTGAATTCAATGCAATAAATCTTGGACGATTATCATTAATATCTTCAATATAAATTATTATTGGAATCCAACGTTCATCGGTTGAATTATGTAAACTTACAAATAAAATCAATTTAATTAAACAATCATACAATGATGACTGTACTAGTTCATGATGATTTGAATTAATTGTTGGCAATGTTTTCATCAGTGATGATGATGATGAAGATGATGTTGAGGTTGAGTGAACAAATGGTTTCGGACAAATTTGTTCATAATCAATCGGATTTCGGGTGAGAAGATTTCCAGTCTGTTGATCTAATTTAAAATATTCAATCATTTGTTTTGAATTTACATCATATGGATTTAATTCGAATTTTCTTAATTGTTTCATTGAATGCAACGTTGTTGTTTCTATTGTCGACGCAGGCGAAGAGGTCGATTTGAATTTCTCGTATAATTTCCTCACATCATTGAATAAATTGCCAACCAGCGTACCATTAGCAAGTTCTTCTTGTATTCTATATGAAATAAACATTGTTTTATGAATGTCAGAATTATTTTCCATAGTTATGTGGTAAAAATTATTTACAGTTATTATAAAAGCAATGATTTTAGTTGTCTGTAAATATTTATTCCACTGATTAAGCATTATTCATTATATCATAGTAAACATATTATGAAGTGTGTATATATACCCTAGTATTGTATGTTACGTAATTATGACAGTTGATTACGGAAAATTAATCCCGTTGTTTTATATACAAAGATTTATCCCCATTATTATTACACTATCCATTTGGTCACATTTCTCAACAATACAGTTTCAGTATGATTGCCAAAATATTCTAATCTGATTGGATGAGCACACCTGGAGAATTGGCCAATCAGATGCTTTCCAGCTGATTGGCATAGAATGCTAGTGAGTTATCATTGAATAAACATTATATCTGTAAAGAAAAAGACAAAAAAACACAAGTGAGATTATCAATTTCCGCTTTTTAAGAAGAAAAAATGTATTCTATGGTATTTTGAAAACAAAACTAGAAACAGATTTGTTTTTTTGCCAAGAATTATTATCCCCCTCATTCAACCAGTTGGCTGTTGTATTATTGACAAAAACAAAACTTTATTTTTGTTAAAATTCAACTAACTACTATCAGTTACATCTTGTATTTGTATGTGTATAATCACAAAAAAAATATCTGTCTGAAATGATAACTGTTTAACTTCTCATCACCCTTTATCTTGTTTTTCTAAGTGAGAAAAATATTACAATAAATCTTAGGATGAGTTATGCGAACCTAATGTTTTCAAATTAGTTTCCATAGTGAATTGGTATTTGCTAAAATGTGCGATTTTGAGTGATTACAATTTACATGATATCAGTTAGATGCTCATTGAGAGTTAGAAAGTCCTGGATGGTGGTTGTTTTGCCTTAGTGTAGACATCTCTAGAGATGCATATTCACAAGTGCGTGGTAGTTGGAACTAGGGACCTGAAGATATCGAGGCAATCACTTGGGATTTGATCCATTGAGTCACCATGAATTAGTTTAAATTTCTAAATATATTCAATTGCTTATATTGAACAATCATCTACCAATATCATTTTTATGTAACTACCTCGAACTTGATATGTTTAAATTCCACTGATCAATTGGTCATAGTGTGGTGTGCGTTACTTATAAGTAGTACATGACGCGAGTGTAAACGTAATGTCTGGCAGCAGAAGATGGGGGAAGATCAAGAAAGGAAGAGTGGGAACACAATGGAATTTGTATGAAACGCATGAATAGTGAAATGTCAGACAATGGATTGATGATCGATTGAAGATTTGCAAATTAACGATTACGATATGGTTTTCCTATTTTACTGATTAACTCTGTAATTTTCGTTAAATACAATTCGGTTGTCCTGACCTGTGTTCTCCTTCACTACAATAGCTTCCGATTTGAACTTTGACAATAAATCTCTAGAAATTAATCACCAAAGGTCACATGCCATATTTGTCAATAGTTCATCAGCTAAAAATCAGTTTATCGCATTGATTTTATACTCGGGGCCTGGATTATGTTGTATATTAAGAGTGATTAGTGTGGAGAAGCTCAAGTCACAGTTTGATCATGAACACTGTGATGAAGGTACATAGAGCCGATAAGTTTCAAGCAACACGAAATGCTCATCCTAGCCAAAATTCTAGTTTACTAAAGTTGATAACTATCTGATCAATCGACTTAGAACGAACACATGATAATATGAACAGAATAAGTGTATACTTTTACATAAAATACAAATTACTAAATAGACATTAAGTTTAATTTCAAAATCTCCTGATTAATATTTACTTTGTGTAGTGTAATTTAATTCTTCGTTGAAATCATGAATTGATTCGTTTTATTGTTTTCTGATTGTCCTCTTGTAAATTTAATTTGGACAAGTGTTTACAATTGATTGATCAATGAGCAGTAATCAGGTTCATATTTGTCCAGTTCTATAGAGGATGTTGTTAATCTAGTTGTCATTTACCTAGAACTAATGTTTGCAAGTATACATCACGTGAATTATATTACGATGTTACGTTGTTACAAATCATCAAGGAAGAGAAATCCCTTGACTTAGGTTTCGACCAGTTTAATAATTGCACTCTCAGTTAATCTGATGCTTCCAATAGAAATCACTTTGGTTAGTGTGTTCCCATTGCAACTTGGTCGATAGAGTTCAATCAGATGTAAAAAGCAGACAAATATGACAACGGTCACTTTTTAGTTGTCATCTAAAAAGTTCACTTGTAATATCTCAAACTCTGAAGTTTGATAATACTTGTTAGTATCCACCAGAAATCATCAGTTTCAATAACACTGAATGAGTACATTACTGACAAGTGTTAAATGGCATGAAATTTATGTTCAGCGTTTACTCCCGATTACGTCCGATCATCTAACCAGTTAAGAATATTGTTGATTAACTGACATGTTCATGTTTCACCTTCTCTATCAAGAGACATTAATGTATCCGAACTCTACAGCCTCTAGTTATCATTACAACTACAGTGTAGAGAATGTTTTTATACACTTTCTCAAGATCCCATGTCCACGACCATCATCCTGTTGGTACCATCGACTTTTTCTAGTGAAAGATAAGCAATGACGCTTTTGGCCAAATTAATGTGCATCTACCAGCTTACGTGTTCATGTAGAGCAGGTTATATTAGACACACATACTAAGCGAGCAAGATACAGTCAGAAGAATCGGCTTAAAAGGAATGCATATGAAGAACCGATGTACTACAGAGGCTGCTGCTATGCATTAATTCAAATCTAACCTTTGTGTAAAGAAACAGTCGCTTATTCTCCAATGGTCTTAAACTGCCTCTCAATATTTTCATAATTTGTGGGCTTTTGTTTTGGGTGATTATTGTGCATGTTGGTTTGTTGGTACGACTTTTAAACTGTTGGTCATAAACCATTCTCGGAACTAAGAAATTAGCCATTATTACAATTTCTGTTTATTCTACTTTTAAAAGATCATCTCTACTTCAGCACATTTCACTAAGTGTTTACTATTATTATTATTATTATTATTATTACACGTTGAAATCATCAATCAATCATTGGTAGGCCACCATTAGAAACCTTGAAGCACTGGGCGGCCGTTTCATCTCAGTACGTCACTCTTCAGCAATGAGCATGAACGACTCCTGCACCTCACGGGATTCCAACAAAGGACCTTCGGCCTTGCGCGCAAACGCCTATCCTATAGAGCACTGGGCCGGTATTCAACGGTGTTAATGTCTAACTCTGATTTATCAAGGGACTTTGCACGACCTCACCCGTTTGTCTTTGCTAGTTACTGCCTACACCCGACAGGGTTAAGCTCCACTACTCACGTCTTCTCACTAGAACTCCGAGAATTTCCTCATAAAGCTAGTCACTAGTGAGCACATTTTACGATTTTCAATTAGGCCAAAGGTCCCGGGTTCGAATACTGAGAAGTGCATAAGTTGTGGATGCGCACTGCCACTGATGAGTCCAATACCAGGAAGAAACGGCCGTCCAGTGCTTCCAGGTTTCTAATGGTGGTCTAACAATCATTGATTGGTGATTTAATTGTGTATAAACGCTGATCTCCATAATTCTAATTGAAAAATATATTATTACTATTATTATTAATTTACGACATCATACAACTTTAAGTTGATTTCATTACATAATTATTTCACTCCATCCTATTTTACTACCCAGTACTATTTTAGGAAATAAAAAAAAGTTAACTAGAAATATAATGATGCAGTGATGTAATGGGTGTCTTACGTTATTTGGAAAAATTATTCCATTCTTTTTTCCTTATATCATATAACACTATGCCTAGTAGAATGATTTTAATGTTATATTTAAATTTAAGAAATGACAATTGTATGTATTAAAACAATTATGTCATACATTTTTGATTAAAGTATTCATAATGATGAAAATGTATGCATACATAGTGGTTGTGTTAAATCTTGACAGATTTACATCCTGTGCGGATTACCTTAATGCGGCCATTAAGTCAAAAACATTACAAGCACATACAGAGGAGGAAGGTATCTATCTGGATGTATGTAGCTAGGTGGCTAGATAGCTTTCGGAGCTAATGGTACTGGGTTGGAAAGCAGGTATAATAATAAAGCTAACGAATTCCAAACAGGGCGAAGCTAGTGTTTTGCACTCTATTGCTACCCAAAGAACACATTATGCCGAGAAATAGAGAAAGATATGAGAAGAATGAACAAATATTGGACAGAACTGGAAAGAGAAGCTCAGGACAGAGTAAGTTGTAGAGTACTGGTTGGCAGCCTATGCTCCATTGGGAGGGGTGTAAAAGGCGTAAGTAAGTAAGCAAGCTACCCATCATCTACATCCACCAAAATAATAATTATTATTATTGTTATTATTATGTTAAACAACAGATGTAAAGTTTATTGAATCAATGACCTGAATACTCGAAATTATCCTTGAATCATTGAAGTAGAAAGAGACAATTTATAGTTTAGTTTTTTGTAACTATTATATATAATTAGGGATAGATCTAATCCATATGTAGACCAAAAATAAAACGATTCAATCTATCTCTTTACTTTCCACACTGTGTTATTTGATTAAAAGACAACAAATATTTGTCTGTCTTCCGTGTTGATTATCTCCTATCGATCAAGTTGTGATATAACCGTCAAAATCTAAAATGAAACGATATCACAACGGAATTTCGAACGATACTGACGACAGTCACTAAATTGATACTGTCGGCATTTGACAGGAAAGAATATTCGCCTTTTTTGGAAGAGATAATACTTAAATGTGAGGTTGAAAAAGCGTTCGGCAATCTTTGCAATCAAGGACATCGTAATTCATTCAATCAATCAGTCAGTTATACTGTCTATCTCTTCACACACACACACACCTGTCTTCAATTTCGAAATAATGGTATACAAACGTTATCTTCCATGTATAGTCGTACAAATAATGTATTATACAGAGAAATCTTACATTAGACTGAAACTACTCATCAGTAGTCTGTCATGACTTTC